TCCATCATCCATCCATCCATCATCCATCCATCCATCAATCCATCATCCATCCATCCATCCATCCATCATCCATCCATCTATTATCCATCCATCCATCCATCCAACATCCATCCATCCATCCATCATTCATCCATCGTCCATCCATCATCCATCCATCATCCATCCATCCATCTATTATCCATCCATCCATCAATCCATCATCCATCCATCCATCCATCCATCATCCATCCATCTATTATCCATCCATCCATCCATCCAACATCCATCCATCCATCCATCATTCATCCATCGTCCATCCATCATCCATCCATCATCCATCCATCCATCTATTATCCATCCATCCATCAATCCATCATCCATCCATCCATCCATCCATCCATCCATCCATCCATCATTCATCCATCATCCATCCATCCATCATCCATCCATCCATCATCCATCTATTATCCATCCATCCATCCATCCAACATCCATCCATCCATCATTCATCCATCATCCATCCATCCACCATCCATCATCCATCCATCCATCCATCATCCATCTATTATCCATCCATCCATCCATCCAACATCCATCCATCATCCATCCATCCATCCATCATCCATCCATCATCAGCTGAAACTGAATCTCAGCATCCAGAGGATGAAAATAACAAAAACAAAGAATAAAGTTTTCTTCTCTTCATGAATGTTTCAGATCTCTAAGACGGTTTCTAACAAAACTTTTTAATTTATTTTGGGGTTTTTTTTTTCTGAAAAAAAAAATCTTAACTCCAGAATAATGTGGTTTAAAACAAACTCTGTCTTATCCAGTAGAAACACATGCAGCTCCTTTTCAAATGCCACCAGTAGAACTAAAATAAAAATTTAAAAAAAGCTGATCTTTATGACGAAGCTCACAGGCTTTTATTTTGACGGGGTCCACTTCACAACCGGAAGCGCGGTTCTGCCAGTCAGCTGGTGGCGGTGTGTGAGCAGCCGGGCCGTCATGTCAGTGGGCTTCACGGATGACGAGTTCCAGGCGGCCTGGAAGGAGCTGGACCAGCCGCAGCTGGACGGAGGCTGGGAGCTCTTCACCGAGACCATGGGGGTCCAGATCTACCGGCTCCTTGACCAGGTGGGACAAACCTCCCCCCCAGAAAACCGCAGGGTCTGCAGGAACCGCGAGCAACACGGACCCAGTGTTCCTCTGCAGAACCTTATCACCTGTTTTATTAACCTCAGTTCTTCCTCAGACAGCCTCGTTTTAAACCTTCATCATCATCATCATCATCATCATCATCATCATCATCATCATCATCAAAACAGCTGKGATCGATCCTAGCGGCCAGAGGAGGAAAGACCCGGAAACTGGACGAGTCCGGATCATTCAGGGTTTAACTTCCTGAAAAAAGTTTAAAAATTAAAACAACGCTTCTTTAGTTTGGGATTTAGATTTACAAAAAACCTTTAATGTTGATAATTTTATTATAAATTTTGTGCAGATAAAAAAAATATCAAAGTAGGGGGAAAAAGCATTTTGTGCAGAAATACAGCGATTGGAGCAGACCTAAAGTTCATAATTAATGAAAGGAGAATAAAAAAGGACAATAAAGACAAAAATAAGCATAAAAAGATTAAATTAGAACTTAAATAATTCTGTTTTTTAAATATTTATACAACTATAGTCGTTTAGATGCATTTTTTATATTTATAAGAAACATTAGAGAACAACTGAACAATAAAAACAACTGAACATTTCTTTTAAAATGTTTTTATTTGAACAAAGAAACTCAAATAAAAACCTGATTATTTGATTAAACATCAGAACTTTCTGGACCTCAAAATAATCCAGATATGATTCATGATGTTTTTGTCTCAGATGGATGAAGAACGAAGACTTTCCTGATCTGAACCCATCAGATCCTCCTCTGAGGCGTCCCGGGTGGGTCCTGGTCCCAGCTGTGGGTCCTGGTCCCACAGCTGGGACCAGAACCCACAGCTGGGACCAGAACCCACAGCAGGTCCATCAAAGACCGAGTCCAGAAATCACAGCTGGGTCCTGGACTCTGTCTCTGTAGGTTCTGGTCCCAGCTGTGATTTCTGGACTCGGTCTTTGATGGACCTGCTGTGGGTTCTGGTCCCAGCTGTGGGTCCTGGTCCCAGCTGTGGGTCCTGGTCCCAGCTGTGGGTATTGGTCCAAGCTGTGGGTCCTGGTCCCAGCTGTGTGTTCTGGTCCAAGCTGTGGGTCCTGGTCCAAGCTGTGTGTTCTGGTCCAAGCTGTGGGTCCTGGTCCCAGCTGTGTGTTCTGGTCCAAGCTGTGTGTTCTGGTCCAAGCTGTGGGTCCTGGACTCGGTGGTCTTTGATGGACCTGCTGTTGGTTCTGGTCCCAGCTGTGGGTTCTGGACTCTGTCTCTGTATAGTTCTAGTTCTGGTCCCAGCTGTGGGTTCTGGACTCTGTGTCTCTGTAGGTTCTGGTCCCAGCTGTGGGTTCTGGACTCTGTGTCTCTGTAGGTTCTGGTCCCAGCTGTGGGTTCTGGACTCAGTGGTCTTTGATGGACCTGTTGTGGGTTATGGTCCCAGCTGTGGGTCCTGGACTCTGTCTCTGTACAGTTCTAGTTCTGGTCCCAGCTGTGGGTTCTGAACTCGGTGGTCTTTCATGGACCTGCTGTGTCTCTGCTGTCTGCAGGAAACTGGACTCTATGAGTACAAAGTCTTTGGGGTCCTGTCCAACTGCAGTCCAGATCTGTGTGCCGACGTCTACATGGACCTGATGTACCGCAAACACTGGGACGGATACGTGAAAGGTAAGAAACATGTCTTTATGGGGACAGAGACATGTACAAAAGACAGGAGACAGAACTGGAMGTGTCTGAGCTGAAGATGTTGAGGTTCTCCTTGTGAGGGTCTTCAGAGGGACAGCTCAGGTTGGACAACTGGAAGACAAAGTTACAGAGACAAGAGTGAGACGGTTTGGACATGTCCAGAGGAGGGAAAGTGAGTTTATTGGTAGAAGATAGGGGTTTAAGAAAATATCGATACACTGAAATATCGCGATATTTCA